GAAGGAAAAGAGTATAGAAGACAACAGAAGAAAGAAGGCATAAATAAAGCATAAATCAAAGCAAGCAATGAGAGGAGGAACATTTTTAAGACTGTCCTATCCAGGCTGTGATGTTGTGAAAGGAGACAATGTCAGCCTCCTCACACTTTTGTTTGCCACAAATGATGAGATCGGGAAAGTTCTAGGAAATTAGTGTGATGGTTGTGAAAGAGTCACACACTTGTTCATTTGTTGAATATATTATTTTATTTTAACATCATCATATCTTAACCTTTATTTTTCCCTTCATTCATTGAAAATGATCACCTCTGAAATGTACACATACTGCAAACTGTCAAAAATATACAAACAAATGCAGGCTTGTGCTATAGTCTGGTCAAATGTCTAAAAAACAGTGGCACTGGGGGGAGAGAGAGAGAGAGAGAGAGAGTGAGAAAGAGAGAGAGAGAGAGAGAGAGAGAGAGGACACTGAAACCGGTAAAGACATGCACAGCATTGTTATGAGCACCGGTTACGATGATCCAGGTGCGCAGTACTTCCATAGGGTCCTTGTGGAAAAGTACATATATTTCATCATCTGACAGTGCGGCACAAAACGACCGCCACATATCAAATCAAAAACAAAATGTTGCTTGTTAATGGAACTGTTAGGCACATCTTTGTTTTTTATGGTTTTACATTTTCTGGAAAAGTCCAAGTTACTGTAAATGCAGAATGATTAAACAAAACCAAGAAAAAATGGAAAAGAAAACGTACAATAAAAAAGAAAAAAAAAACATCTTTCGAAAGTTATCCTGTAACCACTGTCCTGTTAGTAACTCAACATTGATACATGATGTGTGCATGTTAGTGTGTGTGTTCTCTGGCATATATGTGTGTATACAACTGGGTTCATTTCTGTAGAACCAAGTGGTGATGGGAGTGAGTATTTGTAGGTGTTTTGTGGGTAGTTGTTGTAAGTGGATGACAGCCATCCAATCAGATGCTCAGGTCTTTGGGGTTATCCTTGTAGGTTTTCTTGGGCTCAGGAATCATGAGCTTGGATGAGCGACTAGCATCGGTCTTGAGGTTGTTGTAATACTCTCTAACTTTTCCTGCAACAAAATTGTCATCATCCTCCTCATCCTCCGATTCGTCCCCTCTGGAGCTCCTGATCGGGGAGATGTCTCGTCCTAGGCTGCGAGTTCGGAACCGCGGCTCAGGGGTACTCTCTCGGCTGGTGTAGGGCCCTTCCCTCTCCATCCTCTCAAGTGAGCGCCCCCTCAGCAGTGAGTTGTACCTCTTGAAAGCTGAATCTGAGTCAGGAGTGTGCACTCTGGGCAGGCTGGTTTCTCTGTAGGCATCCCTCTGGCCCCGGTATGCCACATCCCTCAGCAGGTTGTCCCCCCTGTACAATCTATCAATGGAGGAGGCTCTCAGCAACAGGCTGTTGTCCCCATAACGGCGCTCCTCTGTGCGCAGTGGCAGAAGTGTGGCCTCCCTGTTCAGACGGTCCCAGGCTGGAGGCTCGCGGACTATGCTGTCATCAAAAGTGAGGCTGGGTTCAGGAGTCTTGGGTTTCTCCTTCAATACGGCCTCGTCCCCATTGTGGTCATTATAGCTGTGGCTCCGTCTCTCTGGGGAGGAATGTCGGCGGTAGGGGTCTGAGGAGTGGGTGCGACGTCTGGGGGAGTGGTGCCGAGAGCGGTAGGGGGACCTGTGGCGGTAAGGAGAGCGGTAGGGTGAGCGGTGCTGATGGTGAGAGGAGTGGTGACCGTGGCGTCTGTTGGGCGAGCGGCCGTGGCGGTGTCCTCTGTGACGGCCATCCAGGATGTTTTCTGCACTATGCGACCGGCTGGGCCTCTTATCAGGTGAACGATGACGGCTACGGTGGTGCCCGCTGTAATGATGCTGATGGCCATCACTTCCCTTGGACCTTCTCCCCCTGTGTTTCTTGTGGGGGGAGCGGTGGTGGTGGTTGGAATGGTGGTGCTTGCCGGTGCCAGTAGAGTTGTGGGTCGGCTCTTTCTTGCTCCGGGATGGTTGGTGAGGTTCTGGTGGGTAGCTTGACTCCAGGCGTGCATTGGCTGAGGGCAGGTTGCTCACTTCCGCAGCGTTTTGTAGCCCTGAGGCTGGGTTGACTGCACTGATGTCGTTGAGGCTGCCGTCTGCAACACAGTATGACATACAGACGAGGGCAAGTGGATCAAATATACATCCAGACTTTAAAAGCTCCTACCTTCTTTATCAACATTAACCATGCTTAATCACTCAGACATGAAGCTGAGAACATTTCCAATGAAAGCCATTCTGATGTTAATGCCAGCAAAGATAGCTGCTTGTTAGATGATACAGCAACAGCCAGTGGTAACACATAACACATGTTTAGCTTACACATGAGAACAGAAGGCAGTGACAAAATTGTGAAGCAGCCATTTCTTGGAGAGACTCATTACCCACAACAAACCTGTTCCCAGGTCTACCTGGGGTCAACCTCTCAGACGGGATGGAGTCTTGACTGGTCGGGTAGGGCTGGTTAAAGTCAGTGCCAACGTGCTACATGTTGATGATAGTGCTTGATCGTACTGATTAGCCATGCTCTTTCATGTGCTGCCATGATGCCTTAGACACATTGTAAAGGTTTGAAGCAAACAGAATGCTCACAATGAGATCCAAAAACTAGTACCATACTGCAGTAACAGTGTGTGTGTGGGAGGGGGGTGGGGGTTCAGGTGGCATTTTACTAAAACGAGAAGAATCCAATGTTCTGCCCAATTTTACTGTACACTGGTTTTAAAGGTTTACCTTCAACGATACTTTCTACTCCCACTAAATCATATACAGCAGCAGCCACCACAATGTTTTGTTACCAGATTCTAAAGATTCAACCTTATCTTGTAACCTTGTAAATGTGTCTACATTTTAATGAATGACTATAAATTGTAGAGCTACAACACCCACAGAAAATGCGCAATAACAAAAGGATGCTCTCTGTCAAGTAGTGTAACTATGTAAACCAATTAACAAGAACAAACTAATATTCTGTATTTCACCTTTGGACTTGTTGCCCACAGGTTAAATGCAATTGGTGCAGACATATCTATAACAGTGGCTACGGCAGCGGTGACACTGACAATGCATTTTGGGTGAGTGGATTTGTATGCATGGAGTAGAGCATGGGCATGGGTGAGTAGAGGCCACACCACACGCATAAGGATGTACAGAGAGGGGCAGAGGGAGACAGACACAGATAGACAGATAATGACAGGAAGTGGGAGGGAGAGCCAGACGACAGGGGAGGACAGTTACAAACCGTGGTCTGATTTTGGAGGACAGAGACCTCCCCCATCTTGTCATTTCGCATACATGCAGTGAGATGGGGAGCGACCATCCCTGAAGGAAGACAAGAGCCCAGCACAATACGGGAAGATTCACAAAAACAGAAAAAAGAGAAGAGCACAGCAGTTTAGATCACTTAGAACTTGAAGGAAGAACAGGAGAATTATTGTGTTGATTTTTCAATTTAAAAAAGTGTTTATTGATCATTGAGTCATTCAGAATAAAGAGACAGTCCAGGAAGTTGCCAAACCCGTCAGTGGAAACCACCAGTTACAGAAAAAAGTCCTGGAAACAAGCACACGCACGCACACAGGTGCACACCTAGAGATATGGACACAGAAGCAACAGAAACCCAAACCCAAAAAAAATAAAGACGGTGAGACTTGCACACCCACAGCACCACTATATGAAGCAGTTTTACATTGCCGACAGAAATCAAGAGAAATACTGGTAAGACTGTCAAACTCTCTGCCAACTAAAAAGTACAAACAATGATCCAAAAATATACAAGTTCACATGATGTCAAATCAGTGCAAGTTAAGACAGCACATTCTTAACGCAAAGCAAATTACACTGATGAACACAGGCAAATGTTATCTCCATTCAAAAGTAACAAAAAGAAAAAAAAACATTTATGACGACTCATGGCTATTAATCAAAACTGGTCAGTTCATTAAAAAAAGTTCCATAAATATTATGGAAAATAGACAGTAGAAGAAAAAAAAAACATTTTAAACTTCTGACAAGTTCATGCAGCAATAGACTTTTATCCATTAATATGTGACTTTGATTCATGGCTCTGTACAAGGAACAAAAATACTTGTAAAAATGCATCTATTCTTTTCATCACTGTACAAAACATCTATATGATTGGAGTGACTCTTTTTGAATGGGGATGGTGGAGATCCATCGTCACAGCTTCCCAATGACATTAACAGCGGACGCAAATAAAATCCACGGATTAGTGAGTAATGTCAAGCACAGTATAGTGAGATTTTATCTTTTGGAATGACAAACAACAGCACCAGACTGCCTTCTCTTCTCAACACAGGTGTCATTTAAAACCCTTAAGAGTTCAGTAGCTTACATTCACCTTCAATAAATATCATAAATATGTTTGTATCATGTCCAAACCAAAGCTATGAGATGTCCCACTTTATCAGGGGATTCAATGCATCTCGTTTTATCTTCCTCTCAATGCTAAACTAGTGAATAATGAGGATTTGGAGCAGTCGACTTCTTTCCTACAAGAAAACTACTCTGGTCATTCAAACCCTGTAAACAGTTTGTATTTTCATGTAGCAGTGAAATCAGACCCACCACCTTTCTGCAAGTCCTAGCAGAGTGCTTTTGCTCAGTGGCCAGAAAAGTGACAGCGGGATGACAAGGAAATAGAGCAGGTGAGACCGAGGAGCGGGGTGGGGGGGACACAGCACCTGCAGGAACACCCTCCACCCCTAATCCCCACCAAAATCCCAAAGCCCAAGGGTGACCTCCACCAGAAAGAAACCCAAGACCAACCAACCCCCTCTCCCCCTCCCTGTCGGCTTTGTCACAGGGATGGATGAAGAGTGCTGGGAGGATGATTTAGTTCTTTCCCCTTCAACCCACCACTGTCCACTGGACAACCCCTGGCTCAGGGTGTGAAGATGGGTGAGAAGGGAATGTTTTCGTAGATTGACCCACCATATTCAGGCACCGAGCCGTCACCTCTCTTGAGCACCAGATGGACGCGTCTGCCTCCATTCTTGATGAGCTCGATTGCTCGCGCGTGCGTCATGCCCTTGGTGCTCTCGCCGTTGATCTCCAAGATTTCATCGCCAACCTAGGATAGAAGTAAGAGAGCAAATGAAGGAAAAAGAAAAGAGAAGAAGTGAGTCGGAGTGACAGGTGAAGATGGAAGGGAGAAGAGGTAAATCAGAGGCAAAGAGAAGAGACAGCAAAGGCAGAAAAAGGAGAGGAGACAGCAGAGTGAGGCAGCATGAGGAAAACAAGTGACAGCCGGGAAGGAAGTACACAAGGGGAAAGACGATGCACCAAGGTTCAAAGGGACACGGTGACACAAGAAGGGAAGTAAAGGGAGGACAGATTGAGGAGAAGTTATATTTTTGAATCCTCTGAACAGTAAACTGCAAAAAAGCAACTTCTTTTAAGTCAACAGTTTCCAGAGAGGGCAAAACCACTGGAAAGCAGTAACTGTGAAGCTGATGGGGAAAATGAGAGTGGGGGGAAAAAATAGGAGCCAGAAGAAACACGTTTTGCCTCCTGATTCTTTTCCTCCACGCCTCAAGTTATCTGTCAGTGCTGTCTGCGCTGCAGGGATTCCTCTCTGGCAGAGTATGGCTCTCTCACCAGCATCTCTCTCTGCCTCACTGAGCCTCTACTATTAATATCTCTACTAATGAAGTGCACTAACACAAATGTATGTATTCATATATGCTCATCCACACAAGTCTTAACTACAGCATTATAATATTAAAAACTCCCTTATAGCCCACATGCATACAGTATCTGCCAATGAGCTTTCTGCAAATGCCTCACATGCAAAGTCATGGGACAATCAATTAAGTCCACACTATATATTCAATCAAGCAACCCAGGGGAAGTGCTACTTGTTTATGCAATTAATCAAAATAAAGGTCAAATACTACAGTTTCTTGACAACTTCTGTGGCATGTACAGTATGAACGTCACTTTACCAGCTCATGAAAGGACATTAATTATTTAAAATGTACATATTCTGTCAGCAGGTGTGTTCTATTACTCTGCAGTGTGCCTTGTGCCGTGATACCACACTCATACATGGCTGAGCCTGGAGGAGACTGGGTTTATATTCAGTGAAGCACAGCCTGCAGTAATTGGAAGGCGCATTATGCACAAGATATCATATTGATAGATATTATTCTGATGGTTGTTACATCTATGAGGGAGTATCATTGTTGATCAGAACAGTCAGCTCTGGCTTGGATTACAACTGAAAGTAGGAAATTATTATATCACAATCAGTACGTAACACTGGTCAAAATCAATGGCCGTATAGTTATTAAGACAATTCTGAGGCATGTCGTTGTGCTGGAAGTGCAGACATGAGCAAACCTGACATTTTGGAGACACTGCATACGCAAATGTCTCTCATACAGTGGAGGTGTGTGTTAACATTTCCAGTGATGACTAACAAGTACTGCCCTCATCAACACCTACCCCTCGTATGTTCTTTACAAGTGATGACACAAAACCAATGCTACACAGTGGGATACAAAAACATAGTCATGAGAAGAAAACTGAGAAGCCAGAACAGTCCACATGGACCCTAGAGGATCCTTCCAAGGAATCCTGCTTAATGTTGGTCCATTATAATGTAGTTCAGCTGGAACTACTGCAGTTACAGAATGACTATTGGTATTTAATAAAGTAAATCCCAATGACATCAACACCTCATTTGGTTGGCCCCTACATTTCCCACAATGCAAAGAAAAAAAAAAACTAAGCCTGCAGCATCTTCTATGTGTCTAAGTGTGTCATAACTGATGGTGTGTAACTGTTAGCAGTACTTTGTGTCCGTACCCTCATTTTTCCGTTTCGTACAGCTGCTCCATCCTCAGCTAGCCTCAGCACGTACAGGTCCATGTTGTATTCCCTGCCTCCTCGCAAGCTGAAGCCAAAGCCTTTGCTGTCTCGCTCCAGGTCCACTAAATAGAACTCCTCATCCTGATGGAGACAATCCACACACACACGCACACAGAAAGAGAGGGAGGGAGAAAGACACATTTGCATCAAGGTCACTTTTGTGATTCAGATTGTGTGTGAGTGTGTGTGCACGTACGCTTTGAAGCGCACTACCTTTTTCAGGAGCATGGGACAAATGCCACCTTTATGAAAGTCACACATAGGTGTGCCAGACTCGGTATGCGTATGAGTGAGTGTGTGTGTCTACACATGCATATGTTCAGGTGTAAGGAAGCTGAATTATGGATGCCTTGGGCTCTATGTGGACAAAGAGAAAGGGCACAGAAAAAAAGAGGGCCCGGGCACTGCAAGGACAGGCAGACAGCCAGCAGCTCCTTTCTTCACGCCCTCCTAATCTCCTCTGCGAAAGGATCGGTGCTATCTGTGAGAGCCATCTCCACACCGTCAGATTAATTCAGCAGTGAACACAGTGGACTGGGGGGTTACTTTGACTCCCTAACGCACAGGCTGTGATAACAGATGTAAAGGAAATAAATAAATAACAATACACCTTGTCTGTCCTTGGCAAGGTGAGCGGGTGGACTGGCTGATGCATGAAGTGATGGATGGAATAAATGGGTCTGTAGGTGTTAGAACAGCAGGATGAATGCATGGAAAGACAAGTGTGGGCAGGAAGGTGATGGGGATGGAGAGCAGATTGCTGCAGTGTTTGATGGAGACATGAAATGGATGGATAGATGGATGGATGAAGTGACAGGTGAATGAATGACTGCAATGTCCTTCCTTACCTGAGTTGAGACTTGTGTTGGGGGCTGGGGAGGAGAGGCTTGTGGTGTTTTAAAGTCGAACGATTCCTGTTTTGGTTTGGTGTTGTTCCTGAGACAGAACGGCAGCCACCAACGGGACATGTTAAAGCTCAAATCAGTGAGACGTCTTTTTACAGGACTATACATGTTATGTCCAAAGTAATGAATTTGCCAGTGTGCTCCTCACCTGGCCTCAGGTGCAGCCTGCTGCTGTGCAGTGTGAGTGGTGGTTATAGTGGCTATCTTCTCTGCATTGGTCAACAAAGATGCATTTGATGACTCTGAGGAGAGTGGAAGAAGGAGGAAAGAGTCTGTCATGACATTGCCACCAAGAAATGTTGAGATAACTTTTAAACAGCCAGGTGAAGCAAATAAAGTGGCTTTGTAAGATAATTAAAATGAAAAAACTAATTTGGCAAATTACTGCTTTGAATGCTAGCAAGCTTTCCTGTTACAAGGACTATGTTTTATTAACATTATCTTTTCCATACACCTTCTAATTCAATACATTAAAACCTGCCCTAAAATACTCCTGGACGACTGTGTAATGGAATTAAATCCAAACTTAAGCAGAACATTTTTCATCTTTCAGTGTGGACACTGGTGTAGATTCAGCAGCTGTGAGCTACAGACATTAACCTACAGGATCATTACCAGAGGAATCCAGAGGTTCACATTTGTGCCATCACTCGTTTTGTTAAGCTGCTTGTCGAAAGTTCTACATAACACTATGAACCCAAATTCATCCCGTCTTCCTGTGAATTGTCCAACAGGAACACACACACACACACACACACACACACACACTTACAGGCTCTGGGACAAAGCTCCTGGTTAATGTCTTTTATCCTTGATTCAATCATTTTGTGTTATCAGTGTATCACTCTGGGCTCTAACCACAAAAATAGACCATCATTACACTACTCTTGCTGCATAAAGACATTTCTCCTCAACAACCTTGTCTTTCTACAGGTATCCTTTATTTGATTACAACTCTCCACTCCCCTATTCACTGTTCCTCTCATGGTCAGTCCCTCTTCTCCTGCACTTCCACAAGTCCCTCTGGAGCCCGTTGGCTTAACTCTTTGTTGGTTGCCCATCAGGTACAAGGTCAGCCAATCAAGCTGCAGCATGGGCAGGGCAAGCTTTATTTTGGATTGTGGAGGACAGAACCTGCTACTTTTGGGTGTGAGAGTGTGATGAATGTTTCTGCTCAGCCCTCAGCAGGAGGTTGGCAATGAAAATACCCCCGCCCCCCAGAAAGACCAAATTTTTGTTACATTCTCAGATACTTTTGTTGTTGCTCATTTCTCACATTTGTCCCTGTAAACCCTACTCGCCCCTTCATCTGCTCATGTGCATAACCAACTCCTGCAAATTCTGTTGCCTCTCCATTTATCTCTCTACCAACTGTTTTCTGCGTGGAAATTAATTAATTCAAAACAGTTATGGCACAGGAAAAAAAACATATTTGGTAGAACTTTTAGTACACTGGAATTGTTTGCACTTTATTTGACTCTTTCTGTAGTTTGTCCCTGGCCCTCACAATATGCCTTTATGCTCTGAATGCACTAAGCTATGAAGGAGAGCAGGTGCAATCAAAATGAAAAATTCAGCAGAGAGAAAGGAGCAGAAAGGGAAAGGAGACAGGAGAAGTCAGAGGGCTGTTTTACACAATAAAACTCAGGTTATGGTCAGAGCCTCAAGCCTATGCCGCGAATGCATTACTGTGCACTAGCAGGAACACTGCCATTCCTGTTTTCCTTGTCACTGCAGAAGTGTTGAGCATCAGTCAGTACAATGCTCCATCTGTGTTCACACACAGGAGAGACAGGAAAGGAGCCGAACCTGACTTCACCTTGGAAGAATATCATGCAATGGTATTTATTCATGTCAGAAAGTTTAGGCAGGATTCATCTGCACACAAAAGGCAGCAAGCTCAGTCATGTGTAAACAGAGGCAGAGAGAACAGTCACTCAGACACACAACTCAGAAACACAAGCCACCATCTTTTCCTGTCATTCTCTGTGTCTCCATGTCAGACGGTGTCTGTTTGTTTGACACATGCACATAAACATAAACCAGAACTTTCCGATAAAGCATATCCAGTTATTTCTCTCCAACAGCTTCTCTCTTGCGACTTCTTGGCAGAGCAATTTTGGCTCACAGTTCTCATCAACCACTTCACAAGATTAAAAAAAAAAATCTTCATCTGTAAGACGCGAGCCGGAAAGCAACAAGCGGAGGACTAATAGCTCCAATTTCTACCAGTGTGCAGGTTGACAGGGAGTATCGCCTTCCTCACAAACACATACAAACACACACACACACACACACTTAATTAAACAGTATTTGTGAAGCATGCCAGGGTGATCTGTTAGCAGAAAGTAGCAAGAGCTCTCTGCTGCACAGCGCAACATAGAATGTGCACAAACTTTTCCTTAAAACCACTTCATCCTTCTCACACACACACATCCAAATGACTCTTGCATGTTTTAAAAGTGCAGGCATGCTGAAGGCACAATTGCAAAAGCTGGAAAAGTTCCTGAATATCCCAAAAGAAGCAGTTCTATCAACATTGCGGGGGTGTTTCACTTACTCTGAAAGCAAGTGAAGAAACTGCAAGCTTTATATAAACACCATAGGCATACAAATGCTTCAGGAAGGAGACAACTAGTTCTGCTCCTCAAATATACTCAAACTATGTAATAATAGGTGTCGAGAGTACTGTCTGACTTCCATAAATGGGTCATAGAGCAAACACATGAAAAGTTCCACTCCTACTTGAACAACATTGAAATGATGTTAAGCTTTTGCTGAGTACTTTGGATAAATACGGATGTTTGGCTAAAGGCTACCAACTGACAGGATCCTCTACCTTTGAAGGTGCTGGGCCCCCATTTTGGCAACAGTTGATCAAGGAAATAGAAAACATTTGACAAATTAAAACCATCTTGAAAGGTGGGGTCTAAAGTGTCACTGTTCTACTCACCGTCTCCAGGAATGATGCGTAGTGAGACGGTGTTCCCGGCCTCCTTGATGAGGTTGACAATGTCAGAATGGGACTTATTGGTGATGGAGCAGCCGTTAACTGCCAGGATGCGGTCGCCAACTTTCAGCTTCCCACAGCGGTCTGCTGGGCTCCCCTCAATGATGCGCCCTATTTTGTGGGGCATTGCCACACATGCATTGCCAGCTATGGTCACCATTGATATGTTGGTATGTGCGATTCAGTATGTTTGTGTGTGTGTGTTGATGGATTGTGTTTGAATAGAGATGGAAAAAGAAGGGAAAGGGGGGGAAGGCAGAGAGAAAGAGGACCAGAAGGTTAAGGGTTAATTCACCCACAGCCAACAGACAGCCAAGCCAAAGTGACTGAGAGGAGCTGATCAGAAATACAGCAGAACAAAATGCAAGCGCTGGCCAAGGAGTCAGGCAAATGTATATGTGCTCTGAAAAGAAATAAGAGAATCTGCCAAACTGTAATTCTCAGTCTTTTTCCTGTAAATTGGTTTTTCAAATTAATCACTGCAGAAACCGAGCTTAACTCGATATGCTGTCTTCCTCCTCCTCCACCCTCTTTGTCTTATCATCCTCTTTTACCTAAAGCTGCTGTAACACAACACTTCTAAAATGGGTATCTTCATTATACTTGCTCGAGTGTCCGTTGACAGCAAAAAGCTAATAATGAAAAAACGGTTTTGCATCAAATACCTGCACCTGCAGAAAGTTGGAGATGACAAACATCAGCCCAGACATCTCACAGCTACCCTGAGGCCTCTGTTTGTCTCTGCCTGTATGCAGTTTGACATCAGTCACCGCAGTGAATTCTTACTTTACAGTGTTTCATTTATCCCTTACACCACCTTCCACTCTTTTATTCCACTACAGCCTTGTCTAACTGAATCTTGCCATTTTGAGCTGTAAAATACTGAGTATAGAGTGAATGAGCAAGAGAGGAGAAAACCCAAGAGACAAAATAAGTGCTTCTCCAGACACTAACAGAATAGGTGGACTAGTTTCTGAATGCTATAAAACAATGATTTATTGGAAAGAAAGAAATCAGTTTCAGACTTTCATGTTGCCAGTAGGTTTTCATTAGATTTTACAAGTTGGGTCAAATTAAATCAAGCTCATCTGTTGGCTGGTGCCTTTTACTCTGGGCTGTGAAAAGTGAGGCTCTGTAAGCCAACCTGAAAACTTTTCATTTCATGTCTTTTCAGCCCACCCACACTGACAGATATAAGAGCACAGAGAACATGGCAGTTGCAGGCATGGCATGGCAGTAGTAGGGCAAAGAGTACACTGTGTAGAGAAGACACTACTAGTCTGTAAAGAGCAGGAGAACCAATTTCAACTGAATTATTTGAAATGACGTGTACGCTTAGATGGAGAAACCCTCATAAGGTTAAAAACACACATTAGAAACATTACAAGAAGTGAAGCAAAATAACCTAAAAAAAATTACCAAGGACGTTTTGAGCCAGTGCGCCTCTCTGATACCATGTTGTAGAATAAATAAAATGTCATTCACACTGATCATTTCCCCATTTATCCTGCTTGCAGCACTCATTAAGTTGTCATTAGGCTTTTAGTGCCAACCTGTTCTGCAGCAGCCATTTTTAAGTTCAGCTGAATAATACAAGTGCCTTATGTAACTCCCACCTCAACTTGTGAATTATGAAAGTCTTGTGTGAGCGTAGCAGCAGCTGCAGGAAAAGAAAGGGTTTCAGTGCCTCAGTTTGACAGGCTCGGATAAAAATGAGGAAGAATCACCACTTCTTTGAAGAGTGTTGGTATTGATTTGGTGGGACAGTAAATAGTCAGAATCTGTGCTGGGTGTCAGGCTATTTTAGAGTTCAGCGGTTTTATGGATGATGCAAAGCCAGACCATAGCGTAGACAGGAAGATAAAAGGCCCCAGTGATTAGGAAAAGCTAGAGTGTGTTTCGTACGTATTTTGCTGAGTGGGACAGATTTTTGCACTATTTGAATGTGTAATCAACAACAAAGTGTCTAAAGGCATTTTGTGACTAAGGAACACTCCAAAGAGAAATCTCTCACCAAAGGTGGTGCCAGCTTCAGGTCGTGACACAGACGAGACGATGACAAACCCAAATCCTTCGTTCTCGCCTCGGTGGATCTCTACGTCATAGGGCTGCAAGGCGGAGGAGGAGGTGGCGTTTGGGGGCTGAGAAGACATGGTGGCAGCTGCTGTGGCAGGTACCACGGCATTACCATTTCCCCCCGCCCCTCCGCCTCCTCCCCCACTGCCGATGCCGGAGGTGGAGCCGCTGCCAGAGCTGACGGTGTTGAGGGAGTTCTGGCTGCCCTGTGGGGTGCGCTTCCCTATCTCCTCCGTCAGGCTGGGCGCCTGTGTGCTGCTGTGGTGAGAGGATGCTGGCGATGGAGGAACTTCTCCCTCTGCTTTAACTAGAGACAGCAGAGGAGGACAAGATGAGAAAGGTGCATAGAAACAGTATATGGTGAAAAATTGTGTGAAGAATGCCTGAGAAGAAAGATTTATGGAAGGAATAAAGAGCCTCAAATTATGGCCAGGGAGGTGAGAGAAAACAGTCGCAGCCTACAGCGCCAAAAGATCAAGAGCAGGATGAAGACAAACACATAAAACTGTGCCAGCCAGTGTTACATAAGTTCAGGAGATAAAGGTGTAGAAACAGATGAATAGGAAAAGAAGAAGAAAACAATAAAACAAAACTGTCAGGACATGATAACACAACTAAATGTTACACCACCTGTGCAATCTGAAAATAAAAAACATCGTAAATAAACTGATATTTTTCTCTCCTAGCACAGCTAGTTTATACTGATATGACTGAAGACAGCTCGGAGAGAAGAGTCACTCACACAATCTTCGTCTGTGATCTGTTTTGAACAAAAGATTAACTAAACACGCAGCCCGCTTCTTGTATATGGACATTTCATTCCATATTTCATTTCCTGCACAGCTGCTTGAGGAAGGCGACTCGTATTCTCGACGCTCTGAGGCAGACAGAGAGCAGTAATGCACTAATGTCTGGCTGCTGTCATTGGGGCGAAGGTTGACCACTGTCTCCATCATATTTATGGGCCTTTCTTTATTGCCTGCTGAGGAGCAGAACAGTGCAAAGGCAGCGATGGGGTGGGGGTGTTCGCTCGCAGCAGCAGCCAAGCACTTCCTACTGTTACACACCCAGACTATTACAGAGGAAAAAGAGGGGGCAACCCCTCCACACAGTGAGCAGATCCCAAGGCTCCTGATGGAATGGATATGAAAATAAATAGAGCTCTTAGCAATGCAAGTGCAGAGTGCCTTTCAGTGACTGAATACTGTTCTATTGTAACAGCAGGAGCTGCAGTGACAAAATGGAATCAGATACAACTGAAGAAGAATGATTTTTTTTCCACAAATTCAACATATAATACAACACAATGCTGGTATTTCAAAAAAATACAATTGCTGACATATGCAAAGAAGTTACTGAAACAATAGCTACAAAGAAACACAAACAACGGTTTAATATTACTCAAGGGACAACAAAGGGTTACCTTTTAAGAGTTTAAATTTATAATCCTTAAGTTTAGCATGAAACCAAATCCTGTTTTTGACCTGAGTAGTGGTTGTCATTTTTCTGCAACACCCATTTAATATATTTACATTAAAGCAGTCTTCATTGTTAGTCACGTCATTCGCCATAAGCATCATGAATTCACTGCATGTAATCCAGTGCAATTTTATCTCACTGATAACAAGATCGCTGTTTACTGTTCATTCCCTTATACTGTTGCTGTATTAAGTTACTGCTAATGCACAAAGAGCACCCTACCACTTCACATTGAAAGCATTCAACTGGTGCAAAACAGGATGACTTTTTACTGTGAAGAAGCCAAATGGAATAGAATGTATATGTCACAGTGGTAAGCTCTGTTCATGATTGTTTATTGCAGGGAGTAATGGAGCAAGAAGGAGCAGCTACTGTGATCTGTCACAACCAGAGTTTCAGTGGAGTTACAGGAGGCGCCGCACATCTCCGACTTCAACGCCTCTATCGACTGACTGTCGACTGTTGACTGACTGTTGAGCCAAACAGACTCTATCGACAGCGAGTCTGTTTGGCTGCGCTGTAGACAGACACATGATCTGTGTTTCTGCTGTATTTCTTCTGTTGCTTGATGTGTTTACTGCCTCTAGAATTCTGGAACCTGTGGTATTAAACTCACTGTTACCATGGTAACCACAGGTGTCACAAAATCAAGCAGGACTGAAATCTTATATCATTTATTGTTTACTGTTTTTTCCCCCAGTCTCACCTTTGGATGCCATGAATTTGCTATTATTCATGGAAGCCTTGAACAAGGGTTTAAACCTCAGCCAACAAAAAAATAAAAAAAACAGGGGTGGGGTGTTGAACCCTGATGTTTCTACACCTGTCAATAGAGGAGGCTGTTTCCTCAACTTAATCCCTCCTGCTTCTTACCGGCATAACTAGTTTTGCGTCGCACAGTGAGGTTGACATGGCCTTGCTTGGCTGCCTGCTGCATCAGTTGCACCACCAGTTGGTGTGACTTGCCCACCACCGCTGTCCCGTCCACGCATATCAGTTCATCACCAGACCGCAGGCGTCCGTCCTCGTCTGCAGCACCGTACTTCACTATGTGGCCGATGTAGATCTATAACACAACCAAATTAGATGAAGACGGGATGTGTTTTTGAGTAGGTAGAAACTGCCAACAGCTACGTGATACACAGTAGCTTTTTAGGTAACATGCATAAGTAAAAGTTCAACCATAGCATTTTCCTGAATTAAAGAATTGAAAGATGTCCTGTTTCTCACAGCAGTTATAAAGTCATTTTTCTTCAAAAAAATGCAGTGAAGACCAGTGAACAACAACAAACAACTCTGCCTCTTTAAAATAATAATAAAAAAGAACTATAAGAAAAAAAAACTGATGTGTGTGGGGGGGAGTCTTAAACTGATTGAGACTACATTGGCCAGAAACCAAGAGAAACTCTGTTGTAGGAATCCCTGATATAAATTTGTCCAACACAGAAGCTCGCAAGTATACACCGGAGGAAAATAAATAGAAAAACAAATGTAATGGAAAACCCTATAGATACTGCTCAAAGGAGTGCTAAGAGGATAGCACTCTCTTCAACACTTGAGTTACTGCATCCTGTCAGTTGTAGTTTATACATTTCAGAAGACTAAAAATAGAGGAAATTAAGAAGCAAACTGGATATATTTAACTATGAGAGACTGGAAAAGTTTCTGAGAAATTTACCGGCTCTCCGGGCTCATTGCCTCCAAGGATCCTGAATCCAAACCCTGTGTCCTTCCTCCATAGGAATATGTCCTGCTCCTGGAAGTCTGGAACTGTATAATCAACAAAGCACCATTAACATTTCTACATTGATACCATTTGCAAGCCCAGGGGACTTTCTCTGCCTGCACTACTACAGGACAAGATCAGCACTGGCATGTCATTAGACATTTAGTTTAAATCCCTCAGTTAAAACTGTGTCACATGTAGGACTGCATGGTATGGTTATAATGGATGCACACATTGTTCTCAGTGGGTATCAAACCATCTGTCAGCTAATGTCAGCATTAAAACCATCCTCCCAACTGTTCTAAGCTTTGTCAATGAGATAGCACTCTGCATAAACAATCTGTCTGAAGGCTCTAAGAAAAGAACAAACAGCCGATCCATCAAAAGGTAATAAGGGATCTATTTTGGGTAAAGAGCCTAGGTAGAGAGCTTAATAAACTTTCAAAAGTCAGAGAGCCGCTCCATAATTAGGAATGATGATCATCAAAAAACTCTTCTTTGATGTCTGAAATAGCACAGATTCATTTTTAGTAACATTCCCACAGACTCAACATTACAGTTCAAATGGACTACACTGCTTCTTTTATGAAGTGATGTTTGACAATTCCACTGTTGCCTACCTTTGAGAGCACTTTCCACCTGGCAGAGGTGCTAATACTGTACATGCTAGAATAGGCCATATATTTTTGAGCAGAGAGCATGAGTACAGCTAGTTCACAGACCCCTTCCTAAAGAAAGAAGTGTGTGTGTGTGTGTGTGTGCGCTAGTCACTACAAAGGTGTTGTGCTATAAAAGAAGCATTGTACTGCTGAGACTAACAGCTCATGGTTCATGTAGCAGAGGAGATGAGAGGAGCCTCAGGGGGGTTAGTGGGAGCTAGGGGAGAGAAGGAGCAAAGGACATACGTACGAGTATATCTGCTTTAAGCACGTGTATATTTATTTACATATGCATGTATGTGCATGCATTTGTAGGGTCACGGCTTTGTCGTATGGGCTGCTGACAATCAATCACCTCTGAGCACACTCATGGGGAGAATTCCTTTTGCGTCACCACGGACGGTGGCTGCCAATGCCACTAAAGCCACTAAGGGGAGGCAGGCTGGGAGAAGGTATCAGCAGTCTGCTTCCAATCTGTTCCTTCAGTCAACAGATAAAATCCCTGTGGTGTGCAGCTATCTCTTCCAATATATCACAATGTAACTGTGGAAGAACTGGGAGAGGACGTGTCAAAGGCTAACTGTCGCAATCTGCACCTGCACTCGGAAGGGTCAACTGCAGAGTACACCCTATACTCCTGTGATTAATACATCCATAAGGGATCTCCACAGTGAGGCAAATGGGCGTGACTGGATCAATATTTCATAAAGATGGACAGAGCTGTGCAGAGCTACATGTAAGGACTGCAAATAGTGAAAGAACAGATCAAAGAGTGAGGAAAATTAACCTGAGAACATTTTCAAAGCAGACAAACTGAAGGCCAACAGAACATGAGCGAGTCTCCTATGCTCTCTGGTCTTGGTTTTCTGAAAATGGAAATTGTTCAACACATGGTGGATTTCAACACCTTGATCTCAGCAAAACCTTTCACTACACCAAATACTCCATATAAAGAAAGGTCTGAGCTATAGCCAAGGCCTGAACCCTATGGGGTGCAGGATTTTTAGGATGAGAGTTCAATGAAGCGTGAGGAAGAGACAAATTTCCACCTGCTGTAATGGGTTAGCTGTCCCTGTCACTGCGTTTCTCTTATTTTACTATACATCAAAATCCCTTGAGCTCCAAATGCTTGTCCTCTCTTTCTCCAATATATCACTTCCAAGTCCAATTTATATTTTTCTGTCGCTTTCCCCGTTTTTGTTATTTGTGCTCAGGTAATTAAGAAAACCCCTTCATCACCTTAGGACTAGTATGTAGATGTAATCTCACCCCTCCTCTTAAATCAAATGTTGTTGTCCTCTGAGCCCTTCATGACAGCTTGCCAACAAGTGTCTACGCCACTGGCTTGTGCTCTTTTCTCATTCTTCTTCATAGGCACATAAATAATAAAAAATCCTTGACAAGTGGTGCATGGGAGAGTGATTAGATGTTAAGGATTTTCAGCTCTTGCAGACTTCTGCATGTTTTTTACTTGACAGTGGATCTGAGGGTTATCCCTTTTAATTGGAGCTATCCAATTGCTTTGACAAAGCTCAACAAGGAGGGGACCATGCAACATGCTGACATCCACTCCACTGTTGCTGCTAATTATACGCCCATGAGTCCCTTAAGGGGAGACTCGAGTAAAAGTGTTTCATTGGTGCCAGGATCCAACAATTGGCCCAAAGTAGCTTTTAAAGGACTGTACCAAGAACATGTAAGGGGCAACTTCTTCTAATGCATTAAAAGAATAACTCAACATTTTGGGCAATCTGCTTATTCACATTTTTGCTAAGGGTTAGATGAGAAGATTGATACCACCCCCATGTCTCTATGCTAAATATGAAGCTAGAGCAAGCAGGTGACTATTGTAGTTTAGCGCAAAGACTGGAGGCAAGGGGAAACGGCCAACCTGGCCCTGTTCAAAGTAACTAAAACACATCTGCCTACCACCTTTAATAACACATTTTACTAATTATCATGTTATCTCTCATGTGTTTAACCCATACACATGTGAGAAGTACTATGAACAAAGCCAGGCTAGCTGTTCCCCCTGCTTTCTGTGTCAGCTGAGCCAAGCTAAGCTAGCTGCCTGCTGGCTGGCTCTAACTTTAGAGTGCACAGTTAAATGAGTGGTATTAATCTTTTTAAGACAGTAAATAATAACATTTCCCAAAATGCTGAAATATACATTTAATTAACATTAAAATGCATTTAAGTTGTCTTAAGTTTACATTTCTAAAACACATTTACATCTTTAGTACTAAGCAAATTAGTTAAGACTACTTTCATGCTTGTAGTACTCAAACACTCAGTTGCTTGTATTTTGGTACGCCTAACAAAAACTAATGCACATTTTACAGCAGTCTTCCATACAGAGAGGTTTTTCTGTTATTTATCCTACCCTCACTGATCTAAAACAGATGGACAAAATAACAGAAACAACCATATGAATACAACAGATTTAACTGCAGCACAAACTGCAGACTCCAAACTGACCATGAAGTTGGATTAACAACTCTGAGAAAATGTTCCTCAGGAAATGAAAGTTATAGAGTTAATGAAAAAAATGTATTGTAGGATTGTTGTATTGATTGCATGGGTTCTAGCTACTTGTACCTTAAACTGGCAACTGAGTGCATAGCAAAGAACAGACACACACACAACACCGTAAGCACCAAAAGGAGATCACACCTCTTCCCAAAGACTGAACGCAAGCACAAGAAAAGGTTGTTGCCCTTGCTTGAGAATAAAAACCAGCTACTTACTTGATCAAGACTCATCCCTCATCCCAAATCTTCAAACACGTGTAGTATCATTTAAACACTAAAGGTCTTCACTGAGCCAACAGCCCCATGCAGCCCTCATCCAACCGCCACCAAAAATGTATATACTTACGCCTACTTTCATACATGCTCCTGGATTGCGCCCAGATCTTAAAGGGGTCTGGTTTTCTCTGAATGGTCCCGTCTGCCGGAGAGTCCTGGGACGGCAGGCCTGGCAGGGGCTGAGAGGGGGGTGGGGGAGCAGCACTCTCACTGTGCGGGGGTGCCAGGGATGAGTGAACTGGTGAGTCTGTGTGGGCGCTTCGGTGGCTGGAAATGCTTTGCTGGGAACTGTTCTGACTGTCCTTCCTGGCCAACTGCTGTTGGAGAAGCAGATCAATATCATTTGACTACTGAAAGTCAGCTGTGGAGGAAAATGGACTCAGGTGACAGAGATAGAGACACTAGCTTAACTGCAGGAAAAACAAGCGGAATCAGGGTTGTCGTTGTGAGGGGAAAGAATACAGACACGAATACAGAAGAATTTTGGATTAAAGTTCAAAAAGATGAAAGATTGCTGCTCCTGTGGGTAAAAGAAAATAGATTCATTGTTGTGCTGCTACCTTAGTCAACACAAAGAATATTTGAGCTGTTTTATTCAGAGATTTTTTTTGTGCAAACAAAGAGAGAAAAAAGAACCTCAATGGTTTCTCATGATTAAGTCATTCAGCTATGGGAGAAAAAAAGACAAGGCTACATTGCCTATTCCATTTGTTTAACAGAGTAGAATGAATTAACAAGGAACTGCATCCCCTGCTGCATATGGAGAGTGAATAAAGCACTCATGGCATTTGAAACAAAGGGAGGATTTTACTGTTGAAGTCAGAAATGTAAAACTCCTTATAAACTGCTACTGGCTCCTTAATACCATGGGCACTTAAGCACCTGCTCAAGGATTTGAGGGAAGTGGAGCTTGAGTAGGGTAAAGCATATACTTGCACTTGAGCACAGGATTATAAGGACAAGTAAAAATCCTTTCTATGACCCCATGTCATGATATGTCTTTTCAGTCATATTTTCAACACTAGTTTGAAAAATCTGTACTGCTGTAATGACTTCAAAAAGAAACCACTGATGTGAAAGGGTTACAGGCATAGCATGAGAAAGAAAGGCAGATATTGTAAGACAGTAAGACAAAATGACAGCAGTTCATTCTCATCACGTCACATGGACACCCGGTACTTCAGATGTGGTGGACAAAAATACACTGAGGAAGGGGTGGAGGCAAGTGGCTCATTGGTTCTCAAATATCAAAGGGTTTGGCCTTCAAAGTGCAGCCATGTCTTCAATAAATTCAGATTCATTGCTCTCTGAATCAGCCTCTTACACCTCTGCAGTTTATGTTTATATTCATCATCCGTGTCAGACAAGAAGCTTGACACTAGCAAATATGAAGTCAGAGCTCTAGCTGGCATGCTGACTCTACTAATGCTGAGTGTAACCTCAGTGGACTGGGTGGTGACATGAAAATCAGTGGGTTTATATAATTAGTCACAATTGCAGGCCTGGTTTGGTGCTAAACTAAGACCTCAGGACTACTTGGCCCTGACTGCAAAATTATTATTTTTTTGGTCACTTTTGCTAAACAAAATGGCGCCTCCATTAGCCAATAAGGCAACATTTTCTCTTGTTTGTCTCTCAGTTTGATGCACACAAAGTCCAAATCCTATTCCCCTTTCAAATGAAGACAAATCTCTTGTTTTTGATGAATCTATTAGATTTGACCTTCTGCAAGTCATTGTGTTCTCCCCTGTGCTGCAGGACCGGTCTAATACATCGGATTCTCCAATAACTTATTAAGGAGACAGGAGATGGGAAGGATGGAGGGGGCTGGGTCAATGAAAACAAATCCTTGCTGCTTCCTCAGACTCAGCTCACTCCTGCTTTGCCACTAACAGGCCAGGCTCAGGTTAACTGCCTTGATGCATCACAGCATTAGCAGTCAATTATAGTTTATTTTGTTGCACATAAACAGCCTCGTACAACCAAATATTAAGTTGAAACACCATGCACTGACACACCATTCTCTATTACCCCTATTATCCACTATATGAACCACACCACCACCATTATCATCTACCCAGCACCAACAGACCACACCTCATTCACAAAAACTTTCATCTAAACGACATCACATACCATCCTAGTGTAATCTCTATACGGAGGAGCCAGCTCTAAATCCTGCAAAACAAAATTGACAAACACATTCAGTCAGCAACAGTCAACAGGGTCTCTCCATGAATGCAGCAGATATCACACTCTTGAGCTGTGATCATACATTCTGCTCTCACACTGCAAGCTTAGCACCCAGCGCGGTGTGATCATCAGCATGTTAGCAGCGGTGTATCAAAATCCACCTACAGGGATCCACCCCCACACAGCACAGCATCCCATGTCTAAGAACAGACCCACAGCATCAACACAAGTTATACCTTACAGAGGGGAGTTAGAGATGAGGCAGGGAGAGTGAGCCAAATATCACACATGTAGATGTAGGACAGAAAACCATTGGATGGATTGATGGTTTCATGGATGGGTGTATAAAAATAAAGGAAAAACAACTACTTACCAGTTTTGGGCTCTTCTTAGCGGGTGCCACCCCTGTGGAGCCAGAGAGAGAAAAAAGGGAGAAGGTTACCAACGGAGTTATAGTATGTAGTCCACCTTCAGAAAAAAACAAGAAAGGGATAAAAACTAATAATGCAGACTCCAAAACAATGTCACAGCAGTGCTCATCTAGCCCTCATCTTGTTCTCCCTCCTTTCTTTCCCTGCTTTGGCTCCGTCGCTCGCCCATCCGCGGCTGGTGTTTGAGGAGGAAGGGAGGGGAGGGGGGTAGGCAGCGCGATCTAACTGCATCACTGCCGCGGCCAGCGCTCGGCTTGGCTGGTGCAGCGGAAGAGTGGGGCCAGCCCCAAGGGCTAACCCGACACTCGCTAGACCCTGGCTACCCAACAGCGAAACACACATGTGAGTGAGTGAGTGTACGAGGAGGAAAGTGAGAGTTAGGAGGAAAGGACAGAATTCTTGAGAGAAACTAAGCTGGAGAATAAAGGGAGAGGAGTAGAGAGGGAAAAGGCGAGCTGTGCTCTGGAGTTCCTGGCCGTAGCATTACCCATGGAGAAGGAGTCCAAGATACTGAACATTAAATTATAGGCAACCGTCAGTTCCCCTCTTACTGAGACCATCTTCCTGTGTCCGCTGAGCGCCACGCTCCGCTGTCGAAGGCTCCAGCATCTATAGGCAGTTGGTGTGTCTTCCTCGTCGCTCCCTTTCTTGCTGCCTTTTCCTTTTTTCACCCCTTTCTCTCTCTCACACCTCACTGCACACTGTCCTCCCTCCCTTTTCTTCCCTCAGCATCATCACCCTCCCTCGCTCCCTCTACTTCTTTCTCTCTCCCCTCCAAACCAATCCCCCTCCCACCCCCATATGCTCGTAAACATTCATGCAGCTGTGCTCGCACGCGAACACACACAAACACAGATACCAGACAGATTCGTGCAGTGCCCTGAACGCAAATCAAAGCGTATTTAAGGTATGACAGGCTGGTTTATACAAGAGTTAGCGGTGACCAGAGATATCACTACAGAAATATCATTATTACAGACAAGTGCACAAAGAAAGAGTGATGGATGCCTAAAATGCTAACACAGCCTGGATCGAGCCAAAGAAATCTGCTTCTTAAGCACATCAGTGTACTAAGCCCCCACTCCCCAGCCCTGCATGAAATTGTATGAAGTTATGAAAATGAGAGTGGAGAGGGAATGCATAAAACAAAGGGAAAATGCAAGACTTGTGTGTATTTACCTGTATAATCTTTAGAAATCAACAATGAGCATGAGCCACACACGCATACAACCTCTGACATACAAAAAGAGTGTGTTATACCATGTAAAGCATACAGTAGCTGAGAGGCAGTGTGTAATATAAGAAAATGGGC